AACACTTAACAACATCAACTAACAACACTTAACATCAACTAACAGCACTTAACAACATCAACTAACAAAACTTCAACAACATCAACTAACAACACTTAACATCAGCTAACAACATCAACCAACAACAATTAACAACATCAACTAACAACACTTACCAACATCAACTAACAACACTTAACAACATCAACTAACAACACTTAACAACATCAACTAACAACGTCAACTAACAACAATTAACAACATCAACTAACAACACTTACCAACATCAACAACAACACTTAACAACATCAACTAACAACACTTAACAACATCAACTAACAACACTAACAACATCAACTAACAACAATTAACAACATCAACTAACAACACTTACCAACATCAACTAACAACACCAACAACATCAACTAACAACATCAACTAACAACACTTAACAACATCAACTAACAACATCAACTAACAAACACCTTCAACAACATCAACTAACAACACTTAACAACATCAACTAACAACACTTAACAACATCAACTAACAACATCAACTAACAACACTTAACAACATCAACTAACAACACTTAACAACATCAACTAACAACACTAACAACATCAAAACAACACTTAACAACATCAACTAACAACACTAACAACATCAACTAACAACATCAACCAACAACACTTAACAACATCAACTAACAACACTTAACAACATCAACTAACAACACTTAACAACATCAACTAACAACACTTAACAACATCAACTAACAACACTTAACAATCAACCAACACCAATGACATCCTAACAACACAAATTCAACCAACACCAACAACATCAACTAACAACACTTAACAACGTCAACTAACAACACTTAACAACATCAACTAACAACACTTAACAACATCAACTAACAACACTTAACAACATCAACTAACAACATCAACTAACAACACTTAACAACATCAACTAACAACACTTAACAACATCAACTAACAACACTTAACACAACCAACAACACTAACAACATCAACTAACAACACTTAACAACATCAACTAACAACATCAACTAACAACACTTAACAACATCAACTAACAACATCAACTAACAACACTTAACAACATCAACTAACAACACTTAACAACATCAACTAACAACATCAACCAACAACACTTAACAACATCAACTAACAACATCAACTAACAACACTTAACAACATCAACTAACAACATCAACTAACAACACTTAACAACATCAACTAACAACATTTAACAACATCAACTAACAACACTTAACAACATCAACTAACAACATCAACTAACAACACTTAACAACATCAACTAACAACACTTAACAACATCAACTAACAACACTTAACAACATCAACTAACAACACTTAACAACATCAACTAACAACACTTAACAACATCAACTAACAACACTTAACAACATCAACTAACAACACTTAACAACATCAACTAACAACACTGAACAGCATCAACTAACAACACTTAACAACATCAACTAACAACACTTAACAACATCAACTAACAACACTTAACAACATCAACTAACAACATCAACTAACAACATCAACTAACAACATCAACTAACAGCACTTAACAACATCAACTAACAACACTTAACAACATCAACTAACAACACTTAACAACATCAACTAACAACACTTAACAACACTAACAACATCAACTAACAACATCAACTAACAACACTTAACAACATCAACTAACAACACCAACTAACAACACTTAACAACACGTCATTATCACCACCTCCCGTTAACTACTCATCCGTCTGTCCGTCACCAAACTATAAACAAACGCAGCTCTAATCACCATAATTAAAGACACTTAATTGCTGAGGTAACGAGCACTGTTGCATTAGTGTATAGAAAGATGTTAACCCACCGTTATTAACTCGACTTAACCCGGTAAATAATGACTCCGTACTATAAATACCGGATTAACGCGGATTTTATTTAAGTAATCGGGGTCTAATCGGGTGTGTTTAATCGGGAGTGTAATCGGTATAATCTCATTAATGTTGATTATAGAGGGTAATTATATTTAATGTTGTAGAATAATAATAATGATAATAAGAGTCGTGGTGGTAATGATTACTGTCTGGCCACTTCCTGTGATTAGCTAACGAGTGTGATGATTGGTGAGAGAGAGAGAGAGAGAGAGAGAGAGAGAGAGAGAGAGAGATCGTTTGGTAGTAATGGCCCCGAGATTCTGTGGGTGGGCTCCGCTAAATGTATTGGGTGGGCGTAGTGGGTGGGTTTCAAGGGTGAGTGTAGTGGGTGGGTTCGAAAGGTGGGTGTAGTGGGTGGGTTCCAAGGGTGGGTGTAGTGGGTGGTTCAAAGGTGGGTGTAGTGGTGGGTTCCAAGGGTGTAGTGTGGGTTCCAAGGTGGGTGTAGTGGGTGGGTTCCAAGGGTGGGGTTGTGGAGGAGCCTGCGGACTCAGGGCCCTCGTAACAGGACCCCTGACCGACCACAAGGGTTCCTTGTCGGGGTTCACGGCCCTCTCAATGTGTGTGTGTGTGTGTGTGTGTGTGTGTGTGTGTGTGTGCGTGTGTGTGTGCGTGCGTGCGTGCATTCCTCGTGCGCGTTGTCAACATATCACCACACTCTCGACACACTTCACCATTAAACGTTAAACACCACCACACGCACTCTCTCTCTCTCTCTCTCTCTCTCTCTCTCTCTCTCTCTCTCTCTCTCTCTCTCTCTCTCTCTCTCCGTTATTGTTACTATCCCAGGTGTGGGTTTTAGCGCAGGTAGATTTACAAAGTTCTAGGCCTACCGATTGTAGTTGTAGAGAAGATAGGCCTATCAGTTACAGTCGTACATGTTGTGAGGGTCGCTGTAGGCCTTTCCTGTTGTTGTTGTGAGTGAACCCGGGAGGAGAGGTTGTCCGCGGCGTGTGTGTAGTGAGGCTGTAACAGGTGTGTCCTATTGACTGTGCGTTACCTGCCAGTCCTCTCCTACCTACTGGCCTCCCTACCACCACCTGCCCTGACAGTATACAGCTGGCGATGACGACGGCACTACCTACAGTACGTAGCGACGACAGTGCCCAGCTGGCGACGTGAGCAGTACTCAGTTGGCGGGCGACGACAGTATCACGTCGCCGACACGACTAACAGCGGCGATAAAACGTCGTGAAGGTGAGGGTAGTGCGCCGGTAATGCTCGTTAAAATACACACGCCATTGATGACCCGCCGTTAGAGGAGCTGCCCGTGATAGTGGCACCCGTAAAACACCTGTGATAGTGGCATCCTTAAAACACCTGTGATAGTGGCACCCGTAAAACACCTGTGATAGTGGCATCCTTAAAACACCTGTGATAGTGGCACCCGTAAAACACCTGTGATAGTGGCACCCGTAAAACACCTGTGATAGTGGCATCCTTAAAACACCTGTGATAGTGGCACCCGTAAAACACCTGTGATAGTGGCACCCGTAAAACACCTGTGATAGTGGCATCCTTAAACACCTGTGATAGTGGCAATCTGCAAAACACCTGTGATAGTGGCACCTGTAAAACACCTGTGATAGTGGCATCCTTAAAACACCTGTGATAATGGCATCCGTAAACACCTGTGATAGTGGCACCCGTAAAACACCTGTGATAGTGGCAACCTGTAAAACACCCGTGATAGTGGCACCCGTAAAACACCTGTGATAGTGGCACCCGTAAAAACACCTGTGATAGTGGCACCCGTAAAACACCTGTGATAGTGGCACCCGTAAACACCGTGATAGTGGCACCTGTAAAACACCTGTGATAGTGGCAATCGTAAACACCTGTGATAGTGGCACCCGTAAAACACCTGTGATAGTGGCAACCCGTAAAACACCTGTGATTGTGGCACCCGTAAAACCCCTGTGATTGTGGCACCCGTAAACACCTGTGATAGTGGCACCGGTAAAACACCTGTGATAGTGCACCTGTAAACACCTGTGATAGTGGCACCGGTAAAACACCTGTGATTGTGGCAATCTGCAAAATTGCCTGTGATAGTGGCAACTGGTAAACACCTGTGATTGTGGCACCCGTAAACACCTGTGATAGTGGCACCGGTAAAACACCTGTGATTGTGGCACCCGTAAAACACCTGCGATAGTGGCACCTGTAAAACACCTGTGATAGTGGCACCCGTAAAACACCTGTGATAGTGGCACCCGTAAACACCTGTGATTGTGGCACCCGTAAAACACCTGTGATTGTGGCACCCGTAAAACACCTGTGATTGTGGCACCCGTAAACACCTGTGATTGTGGCACCTGTAAAACACCTGTGATTGTGGCACCCGTAAAACACCTGTGATAGTGGCACCCGTAAAACACCTGTGATAGTGGCACCCGTAAAACACCTGTGATTGTGGCACCCGTAAAACATAGTCGGCGGCGAGGGACGACACGAGCCACGCTTAACGTCCTCTACCCTTTGTGGCGGCTGTTCCTCGCCCAGTTCTCGCCAATCCTTGTTGGTGTTGGCGTGATCCCGCCCGGGAGTTTGGATAGTTTATGGCCGCACGTCTCGCAGACCTTATTAGCTGTTACTCGCAGTCCCGCGCCATTCCCCCCCCCCCCATGCCTTCCTGTTAGTAATGACCAGCTTCTCTCCCTATGTGTGTGTGTAGAGCTTGTGTGTGCGTGCGTGCTTGATAGCCACATCGCAAATACTGCTCCCAGCGAGCAATATACCTACAACCCCTTCACGCCCCTGTGAACCTGAGGCATTAATACTTAACATTTGATGGGTCTTTTTACGGTCTTGGTGAAATTTAGTGTTGTGTGTGTGTGTGTGAGGAGTGACTCTTTTTGTGTGTGTCAACTCTTTCTTTTAGGAGTTGGTGTAATTATTCTTTGGTCTGTTGGATGCAGTTGTGCGCCTCCGTTAATGTGTGGCTCCCGTAAATACTTTCATGGGTGATGACTTTACGATGGCCGGGATATTAAACTCCAACCTACCGTCAGTATAGTCATGCGTGCTCGGCCATGGCCTCAGTCATGTTGGCCAGCAGTGACACGAGGACCTCAATCATGTTGGCCAGGAGTGACGCGAGGACCTCAATTATGTTACAGGAGTGACTTTTAGGAGGGACCCTCACTATGTTGGCCAGGAGTGACGCGAGGACCTCAATTATGTTGGCCAGGAGTGACACGAGGACCTCAATTATGTTGGCCAGGAGTGACGCGAGGACCTCAATTATGTTAGCCAGGAGTGACGCGAGGAATTCAACACTGACGAGGCCAAGAGCTTAACACTTTACACTGAGGGAGACCACAGACACGGATCTTGGGTGAAAGAATTTGACCTTACACTGAACTCAAGGATTACACTGTTGATTTATCCTTTTAAGTTCAACATAGGGGGAGTCATACTGTTGAAATCACAAGTACACCACACCTCACCACACCACACCTCACCACACCACACTACACCTCACCTCACCACACCACACCTCACCTCACCACACCTCACCACACTACACCACACCTCACCTCACACCTCACCACACTACACCCTCACACCTCACCACACCACACCTCACCACACCACACCTCACCTCAACACCACACCACACCTCACCTCATCACACCACACCACACACCACACACCTCACCACACCTCACCCTCACCTCACCACACCACACTACACCCTCACCACACCCTCATCACACCATACCACACCACACACTACTCTTTTACACCCTCACCACACCTCACCACACCTCACCACACCTCACCACACCACACTACACCTCACCACACTACACCTCACCACACTACACTTCACCACACCACACCACACTACAGTACATCACACTACAGTAAACCACACTACATCACACACCACACTACACTACACCTCACCACACCAAATCACACCACACCACACCAAATCACACCACACCACACCATACTACAGTACAGTACACCACACTTCAGTAAACCACACTACACCACACACCACACCACACCATACTACAGTACAGTACACCACACCTCAGTAAACCACACTACACCACACACCACACTACACCACACCACACCACACTACACTACACTACACCTCACCACACCACACTACACCTCACCACACCTCACCACACTACACTTCACCACACCACACCACACTACAGTACATCACACTACAGTAAACCACACTACAGTAAACCACACTACATCACACACCACACTACACTACACCTCACCACACCACACCAAATCACACCACACCATACTACAGTACAGTACACCACACTTCAGTAAACCACACTACACCACACACCACACCACACCTCACCACACATGTATCTCAAACAGCCACAAACGTCAAACTGTCAACAAACCACAAGTATGAGACTGAACGAACACAGACACTAAAACTGAGAACACCCAAGACCAGCCCTTTAAACTCACCACATGACATAACCTCGATAAATAATCCCAGGAAGACGCCCCGAACAGTAGTAGCAGTAGCAGTAGTAGTAGTAGTAGCAGTAGTAGTAGCAACAGAAGCAACAGCTGATCAAGGGGCGGTGGCAGTGTAAAATACTCGACGTTCGTGACCCAGGTTCGCGCCCCGTCTCAACCCCGAGGATTCCCGGCCGTGCGAGAAGTCTGTTAAGGTAATCTCTTGAGAATCCACAGTGAACAAATAACCCGCCTTTGAGACTTGCCTGCGTCCCTCCTCCTCCTCCTCCTCTCCCTCCTCTCCCTCCTCCTCCTCTCCCTCCTCCCCCGCTAAGCTGGCAAGACACAGCTCGTAAGACATAATTTTCAGGCCAACGATGCACAGCAGATAAATCCGGGTAATCGGCGTAGTCGTAAAGTGTTCGTGGTGGTAGTGGGCCGCTGCTGCTGCTGCTGCTGCCTGGCGAAGAGGAGGACCTTCCTGCTGGAGGCCCCACAAGGTTCACTCTCCCGCCCTCAACGCCACCGTGAGCGCCCTTAAGGACACTCCAGCTGCAGCACCAAAATACCACCACCACCACCACCAACACCACCACCAGCTAGGATGGAGGAGAGAGAGAGAGAGAGAGAGAGAGAGAGAGAGGTTGCCTCAAGTGACTCGATATCAGGAAGGTTTATCTCCTCCATTAAATCAACAGTAAAGGAAGTTGTCTCTGATTTAAGTTGTGATTCTCGCCGGCCTTAAGGGATTAATTCTGGTATTTTTCCAATCCAGAATTAAAAGAGGGAGTGAGAAAAATATGTGTGTTTATGGGGTGTAAGAGTGTAAAGGGGAGAGGGGGAGGGGAGGGGTAGTTAGAGATCCCGATCGTTAAATGTGTACTTCCCGGCGGTGTTGTGGTTCAATAAATGTTCCTCGCCCCGCACGGATGAAATTCTATTACGAGTCATTCCGGTTTAATTTTTTATTCTTCGTCTCTATCTCTCTCTCTCTCTCTCTCTCTCTCTCTCTCTCTCTCTCTCTCTCTTTTTATGTTGACTGTAAATATAAGCTAGGCGGCGAGGTGTGTTGTGGGTATATTAGTGTGTGTGTGTGTGTGTGTGTGTGTGTGTGTGTGTGTGTGTGTGTGTGTGTGTGTGTGTGTGTGTGTGTGTGTGTGTGTGTGTTCAAACATCACCGTTATGAGCTATCAAACGACAGATTGCGGTTGTCAGATCATCCTTGTCATCCAGCGAGGTCGACTGTTTATGAGAGCAGCCAGCGGAGGGGTGATGTAGCAGAATCCACGCGCATGAGGGCATGACGTGTTTGATTGGTTCTACCTACCATGACCTCCGTTAAAAACTCGCTACACCCTGATATACAATGCACCCTGACACACACACACACCGTGACACACACACACCCACACTTCTGCACCTTCCTCGACACCGGCTCCTACTACCACCCGAGATCCCTCGTCCGAGAATTGCTGTTCGACACCACAACCGCATCCATCCCATACGAGCACGAACTGATCGCTATAAGAACAGCCCAGTCCCAACCATTGTAAAAATTATCAATAACTTGTAATCAACCAGTGTGCTTGCTCCCAGTCAATCTTACCTTTTTGCACTGTCACTATGTTGAAATGCCCAGTAGTATGACCTTCCCCCCACCTAGTCATTTTATATTATATCACTTATGTTACCTGTATATTATTTGTGAATCAAGAGACCCATTCACCTATTATGCAAGTGTATATTTTCAGCCTCCCAGCTACCATGCTCTTTTAATAAGCCGTTAATTATTATTATTATTATTATTAATTATTACACACGTATCATGCTCTTCAGATTAAACCTTTTCTAAATATAAAACCATTTTGTAGTTTAAGGAGAACGAGTGTGACGGCGTGTGTTGACAACTGAGGTACTGTAATGTGAAGGTAGATACATTGTTATATTGTCCGTTATATGGAGGTTTTTGTTTTTAACGGACTGTCATGTCATTGTCCGTTATATGGAGGTTTTGCTTTTAACGGACTACCCACCTGCCATATTGTCCGAATCACGACCCCAGGTTTCCCCGTCGCCCTCCTCCTGACTTAACCTAACCTGACCTGACAAGATTAACTTAACCTAACCTGACTTGACCTGACTTACCTGTGTCTCGGTGACGTTTAAGAGCTTGGCCATCTCCGCCCGTTCCGAGGATGACAGGTACTTCTTGAGCTCAAACTGACGCTCCAACTCGAAGATTTGTCGTCCGGTGAAGGTCGTTCTTGCCTTCTTCTTTTTCCGGTCGTTCGCACCTGGGGGTGGGAGAGAAAGGGCGGGGTCAGGTGTGTGGCTAAAGAACGGGAGAGAAGTTCTCGATACTGAATGAATGACTCACACACCCATCCACTTCCTCACCCTTCCACACGCACTCACTCACTCACTTATCCATCCAATCATTCTTGCACACACACACACACACACACACACCTTCAGCGTCGCCGACAGATCCAAGTCCAGGAGACAACTCGCCATTCTCCTTCTTCCTCTTGGTCGCGCCCTTGGGGTCCGTCACGCCACCTGCAGGAGAAACACGCCCTTAGTGCACCTGTAGTCTTAATGAGTCTATTTGAGTCTTAGGTCTATTTTGAGTCTTAGGGGTGTTTGAGTCTTAGGTCTGTTTGAGTCTTTAGGTCTGTCTGAGTCTTAAGTCTGTTTGAGTCTTAAGTCTGTTTGAGTCTTAGGTCTGTTTGAGTCTTAGGTCTGTTTGAGTCTTAGGTCTGTTTGAGTCTTAGGTCTGTCTGAGTCTTAAGTCAGTTTGAGTCTTTATGGAATGGTCCTTGTGTTTTCAGTCAAAATCCCACAGTCCCGCCATTACCCCCACACCTCCACCACCCCTCCACCACCTCTCCACCATTCCACCCTCCACACCCCACCCCTCCACCACCCTCCACATCTCCCCCACCCCACCCTCCGAGTGATCAGTTGCACACTAGTAAATAGACGATGAGTTACAGCCTCCTCACATGGCCGTCCGGAACGAGCAAGAACCGACCTAACTACCCGACTACACAAGGGTCAGAATGGCTCCTGATTGGTCGGGGAGTTTGGGCCCACCACACACACCCTAATTGTATTGTTGTTAGTAAATAATTAGCAATTTTGCGAGTACGATGTGGTGGGTTAGCTCTGAGCGACGATAAACCGCTAATGGTCTCGTTACGTTAAAATGGCTGCTATCACCCACTACCAATTACTACCAATCGTTACTAGCTTCACCACCTGTTACTCAATGTCTCACCACCACCTCAATTCACCACTACTACTACTGCCACTCACTACTACTACCACCACCACCACCACCAATTCTCCCAGCCACTACCACTGGCCACTACCTCCCTACCACCACCACTCACCACACCACTAGCTCACCTTTTAATTACCACTAATTACTACCACCAAGCTACCACCAATTACTACTACTACTACTACTTCACCACCACCACCACCACCACCACTTTGCCATTTACTACTTTTTTTTTTTTTTCAACGTATTCTAGCCTCCCCCAATAGCCATTAATTCCTTCACAAATTACTTTATTTACCTTAATATTAAATATCCTAATACATAAGAAGCTATCCTATCTGTGTTAAATTAGTTGAGCTGCAGATCTATGCGGCATTCAGTGACTGTAGCCTCATAGTCAATATCTGCAGCAGTTGTCGGAGTAGGGGCAGAAGCTCTCGTTCCCCTGAGGCAGAGCAAAGCCGACCGAAGGAGAGAGAAGGACAGTCGACATCTCATCCAGGCTGTAACATAACTTCTGGGCTGCTGCTTCTGTTCGGAGATCAACTCCGCGAGTCTGGCGTAGAAACATCTTGCACTTGGGCCCATCCCACCAGAGGTTGTGAACACTAGAGGAGTGAAGCTGCCTTGATCAACATTTTGAATTCTTTCCCCATATGCCCTTCTCTTGTCGTTCTCGTTCCTCCTATGTGCAGCATCGAGAGCTAGGTTACGGTGACAAGCGGCCATGGGATCAAAAATCCTGATGTCGAAGAAAGCTCGCTGTCCCAGCGTCCAGAATCCTCGAGCACTGACGTCCACACGGGCTTCGTTAGATGTGTTTGAAGTCCTGTGTTGGAAGATCTCGCCATCCAGTGGAAGGAGGGTCGGTTCTACCATGACGTCCTGGCAGATTTCCTTCAACATATTTGCTGTGAGATCCCTTACCTCGTCATGCCTCATGCATATGAAGCCCCCCTTCTTGCAGACCATGGCGTGATCGCCATCATAGGAAGAGCCACACACGCATTGGGAGGGCAAACCATCTACTGGCCAACCGTACCTTAGAGCAATGGCATCTGTAAATTCTTGTTTGTTAAGGCTGAAACCATTTGCCCTTATCGGTAACGTAGTTAACCAGTTCGAGGCACCCACCTCCTGCGCTATAGCTACTTTTTTTGTCAAATTTTCTGGAACCTGCAGCAATAGTTGCTGCAACATGTCATTTTGGCAGTGCTGCCGATCTGTTGTAATGGACCTACGGATCTTATTTACTTCGCTGGTGTCCACTTCCCCAGCCACTACCACTAATACTACCTCCCCACCACCACTACTACCCCTTCTGCAACCACCATTACCACTACCCCCATCCCGCTACTACGACAACCTCCACTATACATTCCCACCCCCCTCTGCGTCGCGTGCGGTGGAGGGGAGGAGAAGAATAAGGAGGAGGGAGGAAGGTGTTCTAAGGTACTCTATCGTTGTTGTTTTGTTCTTCATGTGTTCTATAACCCAGGAGTAAAAAGCTGAGGTTTTTTATTGTTTACGATTTACGCTAATAACAATAATAACAGATAATAATAATAAAATAATAACAATAAACTTAACAATAATAGCAATAATAATAATAATAATGACAATAACAACAATAATAATAATAATAATAATAATAATAATAATCTTTTGGTAATTATATAAGTGTAATGAGCGATAATTTCTGGTAATGAGCGATAATTTCTGCGTAATGAGCGGTGTGTACTCCTGGTCACACGGTAGACAAACCCACGCGGCTCGCAAGTTCCAGAGATTTATTTTTTTTAGTACAGTACAATGTGTAATGTGTTGTGTATATGAATGGTTATATACTGTGTGTGTGTGTGTGTGTGTGTGTGTGTGTGTGTGTGTGTGTGTGTGTGTGTGTGTGTGTGTGTGTGTGTGTTTGTTTAAAAACGTATTACACACACACACACTCGCTAGTATTCCTAACCTAACATAACTTTATTTTCTAATTCCTTAACTTCCCTTCATAAAACAATAGACAAAGATTGTAAAGATTATTATTATGTTTATGTTAATTAATCCCTTTACCTGTGTGATTATCCAGGTGAGGTGTTTATCCAGGTAAATTTATTTGTCGTTATTACATACGAATTAAACGTGTGAGTTTATAATTGTTGTTGTTTTTCTTTATTTTTGTGTGTGTGTGTGTGTGTGTGTGTGTCCTCTCTCGCCGCTACACTTACGACGAATTTATCTATCTTTTGCCGGCCATGAAAACGACGCCGGCATTAACACGCATTAGGACCGGCAACGAGCGGAAAATGCAGAGATAACGTGTCGCAAAAACCCGCTAGTGTTGACAGCGACGGTGTGTGTGTGTGTGTGTTTGGACCTAAGCGTAAATTTGTTTAAGGTGTAGAATCTGTCGCCAACACAACAACCACACCCTGAGTTTACGAGTTGCATGATACAGTGTCAAGGAGAAGACCGGACAACTCGCCAACTGCACTGGCTAACCATTACCCCAGAACACGAGCTGCAAATCGATTAACATTCTGGTTCCCAATTACTGCTGGGTAGACAGAGGCAAATGGCGTAAAGAAACTTGCCCATAGTTACACCCTGCCCGGGGATCGAACCCGGGTCCACTACTACCACTACAGTACTTAGGCGCCGTCGGAAGGTCTCTATCTCTCTCTCTGCCCCTTATCCCCCGCCAGGTAATTATACACTATCACTTAACCCCTTCAGCTATCAAAGGTGTTATTGTTAGGGCGTGATAACCAGGACGCTGCCGCTAACGTACACTGGTGCCTAATTGTCCCGACACACCTGGGCCCCCTCTCCCCCTCCCTCACCCCCTCTCTCCCCCCTTCTCCCCATGACCTTTACCTGTCCCTCTTCTCCCTCCACAACCCCCCCCCCTCTGTCCATCACATCCTCCCCTCATCCCCTCTCCCCACTTCCTCCCCTCTCACCCCCACTTCCCCCCTCTCACCCCCCACTTCCCACAAATGGACAAAAAACAAAACAAAGACAAAATAAGACCTTGATCCTCCTCATTAGTCGGGAGTTTAAGAATTAATGGTTTAATATTGTATAGTGTTGAGTCTTGTGTGTGCGTGTTACTAAAGTTGTGGTGGTGAAGGACGGTGGTTGAGAACAGGTATGGTGAAGGACAGTGTATGGTGAAGCATCAACCATTACAACCACCACCACAATCACCACGTCAACCAACCATCGCAACACCACCAACACAATCACCATTAACCACAAGCATCACTACCACAATCGCCACGTCAACAGCCGCCACCGTAAGAGGGAGTTATCAGGAGGAAGAAGAAGGAGGAGGAGAGAGAGAGGGGGCAGCTGACCGTGGATTGTCAAATGAGAGGAACATTAGAGGGTGATGGTCGACCAGTGATGTGTTACCATTCACCTGTTAAGAGGTAGACCGACTCCACCTTGATAATGTAGAGCCCTTCACCCCTCACCCCCCCACCCTCCCCACCCTCCTCTCCTCCCCCCCCTAGCCTACCCCTACCTCCTCGTGTTGAAGGTGTGGTGATGGGATAGTGTGATGATGAGATGGTGTGGTGTTGTGGTAGTGATAGGGATGGCATGGATAACAGCGAGGAACTATAATGGTGATAGTGAGGGAATGGGTGACAGGTGATAAATGTAAGAGTAATGGGTGTGGTTGTCGGGAGACGGGAGCATGTTGTGGTGTAAAATTATACTCTCCTGAACAGCGACGCGGGGAGGAGGAAAACGTGTCTGACTGGTCCACACACACACACACACACACACAGACACACACTAAGAATAAGAGAGAGAGAGATACGTCCTGTTAGTCTTAATTAATTATACCTGTACACCTTTTCAGGGCTTGTGTTTACCTGTGTATTACTGTAGTTCAGATGGTTGGTGGTTTATTTACGGTTAATATTATTCCTAAGAATGGGGGAAGAGGGGAGTGGGGGGGGGAGCTGGGTGGTGGTGACAGTGGTGTGAGAAACCCTGCCATGTTAAGGGACAAGAGAGGAAGGTGAGAGGGAACGGGGGCGGGGGGTGTGAAGGAGGGGCGAGAGATGACGTGGCGGCAGGCCCCTTCCCCCCCTCTTCCCCCTCCCCTTCCCCTCTACCCCTCCCCCCTTCCTTGTTCAGCCATAAAACCTGCTTTCAAGAGGTGACAAGAACCATTTACCTGGGTGACTCAACAACAGCAGCGGCTCCCACGGTAATTAAGCCCCGCGCTACAGGTAATGTGTTGAATAAAAGACACACCTGG